AGATCTGTTTTTGAAGATGTGCAGCCAGAGTGCTCCTTGGAGGCCAGGATGGCTAAGCTTCGTCTCTTGTACTTTGGACATATTGTTAGAAGGGAACAGTCGCTGGAGAAGGATATCAGGCTGGGTAAAATGGAGCATCAGAGAAAAAGAGGAAGACCCTCAACGAGATGGACTGGCCAGGTGGCATCATTGATGGCGTCAAGTGTGGCAGCGGTAGTGACGCTGGCCCAGGATCGGACATTGTTTCATTCTGCTGTGCATGGGGTCGCTATGAGTCGGTTCCGACTTGATGGCACCTGACAACAACAACAATATTCCCTCTGTATACAGGTATAGAGGGATGGGCAGCTTAGGACAGTGGCTAAAAAGTGACTGGCTTTTAACTTTTCAAGAGGGAGTTTAGTTTCACAGTGTTCAGGGGAAGGTAGAATCTCCACTGAATTGTTTTCATCTTGTCTAGATAGGTCTGGTGAAAAGAGATGGGGATAAGATTCTTATGATTCAGTAGTGAGTAAATGTTTTCATGACTAATTGCGACTGTCACAACTGTAAAGGTAGAAGTCTTGTAACAAAAACGGGAGGATAAACAAACTGTGGTACATACATACAATGGAGTACTATGCTACATTGAAAAATAACAAGGAAGCTGCATGCCACTTCCTAACATGGATGAACCTTAAGAACATTATGTTGAGTGAAATTAGTCAATTACAAAAGGAAAAATACTGCACAGGACCACTACTGTAAAAGACTATGAAAAAGAACCCATACTATTCCAATAAAGTGGATGATTAACTGGATGCTAGGGCACAGGGGTGGAGTTAAGGACGGGAGGGGCAGGTGGAGCACAGGGCAGGGAATAGACACGGGATAGCTTGGGTGTTGGGGAGGCAATATACAAGTAGGGAGAGGGGAATGGAGGAACAAAGCAGATGGGAGAATAGACAGGTAGGAATGAGCTAAATGGGATAGAGGTAATAAATGACGTAGGCAGAGCCTTGGAACAACAGGGCTCTGGGATACAGAGACTGGGACATGGTTGGAATGGGGAAAGGAGGGGAATAATGTTGAGATCTTGGCTGACTCTTGAACCTTGGTTTTCCATGCATTATATTATAAAATAGTCACGGAAGAGTAGAGGGAGGAA